ATTCTGTGATTCTGTGATTCTGTGATAGAGTGTTGTACCAAATGCTTGCCCACAGAAGGAATTCATAACAAATAGGAATCTAATCCTTCAATATAAATCTGAGAATTTCCCTTTCCTCAAACAGGGACTGCTGGCTGACCTTGATGTTCCTTCATTTGTCATGACAGGCGCAGTCATGCTCCACATCACCCTAGCCTTTTCTGAACTGAACTAAAGACTTGAGAGAAGCCAACGGATATTAATTAATTCTTAACATCTAACACCACTCATTTGTCATCCTGTCAGTGAAGGTCTACAAAATCCTTTCCCCACCTATGCCTTTTAAAAAGTCTATGATTTAAATCAGAGATATAGCTGATGATGTCTGAATTGTCTGAGTTACTTGGGACACCTCTGTTTACATGGAATTTTTCAGCAACAAATGAAAGGATCAGAGGGTTTCAAAATGCAGACTTCCTTTTTCCTTCCTTGTTGTTCAGATTTCCACCTCCAGCATGAGCTGAAGGAGCTAGACATCTTTGTGCCTGCCTAGAACTAAATCTTGGGGTGATTCGTGTCCTCTTAAGACAGAGAAGGAAGGGCAGTCACCATGTGGGTCCTGTCAAGGAATTCTTAGAAACTTCTCATTCAATCAGCAAAACTATCCTTACTCAGACAAGCCTCATGATTTCTCTGATTACTCCTAGAGTTTAGTATAATTTCTGAAAAGCAGACCAGTAAGAAAGTAGAGAAATTTGCTTCTTCAGAGCATGTGCTCTACCAAATAGGTAAAACTTCACGGCCGTCTAAGAGGAGAAAGGACAGAACATGAACAGTTAGCTATCAAGTTGCAAGTCCGCCTGTCCTCTGGGCAACATGGTTAAGAAAATGTAGCTGGTGTGAAAGTAGCAAGGCCGAGTGCAAAAGTGTCACCACCTGTTAAGTGGACAGTTAAAAGCTCTGGTTCTGTGTGGCTAAGCTCAGAATTAATTGATGGAGTGTATGAGAATAGCTGCAGGGACAGTGAAGAGAGCAAACACTGAACTGTCACCAGTCTTCTCTAATAACACTTTTCTGAGTGTTACGTGCTATACTGCAACAGCCAGCCCCCTTGATAAGGCTTGGGAATTGCAAGCAATACTATTTTGTCATGGTATCTCAGATGTAGGTTGCCACTGATTTATCAGCAGATCAACCTCTCCTCCATGGTCTCCACTGAAGGTTCGCTTGTATCATACTAGTCAAAGTGGGAAAATATATTCCCACTGCCAGATAACATTTGATCACACTGGTGAAGAATTGCCTGCCTGTGATTTGCTACTTGCCTCTGTATCAAATGTGGGTTTGTGCAGTGTCTTGTGAGCAGCTTGGGAAAGACCCTCTCTGATACTGAGCCCTCCCAGCTACTGAGGATGATGAATACCTGTTGTATTCTTGCTTGTCTTTTCTTGGTCCCTCTTAAAAAACACATTGGCTTTAAATTGCTGACAAAAAATACACCAAAGGGCTACAACATGTATGACATCTACATAGGTAACTCTTGATATTCTTCTACATTTCTGGTTGTACCTCTACACCTAATACATTACAGTGTGACTTCTCTTCCCTTTGCTTCACACAGACTTTTGGGAACCTTGTTTTCTTGTTGAAGTACGTAACTAATACAGTATAATCGAAGGCTCAGGCTCTAGCTCACCCAGCATCATTCCAGATGCAGAGTGTAATATTAGTGTTAGAATAGCTCCTGTACTATTTCCCCTGGCTGGCTGCCAGTGATGTAAATGGATCTGCACACCAGTGGCAAAATATTCTGACACTAGAGACTGAATTCACTGGTCTCATTTAGCAGACCCTCTGCCTTGTACCAAAGGATGAAACAGGTTCAGGTTAATGAATATTGTATGGTGATGTTATTTGCCTCTCCGTCTTGTTTCTGTAATGTTTTGTTGGGGTTAAACAACACTACTCCAGCATCTTAAAATAGCTATTTTAAAGTGGTACCTAAGATAAAGCTGACCATGCTGATGTTTCTTTCCTAAACTGGTGTTTTGCTGCGGAGTTGTTTTGTTGTAATCTCCCTATTTTTGGATGAACTGCTGTACAGTGTCTGGGATGGCTATTGTTGCCTCTTATATGTTTTCTAAATGTACAGAATAGCCTGCTATAATTATTGGGCTTTTAAAAGGAGTTATGTCTTCTGGTATAACTCCACAGTAGAGCAGAGGCAGCTTTTGTGTAAGACCATTAACCTCACTGGGTGAAGAGAAGGGGGAATCTGGCCTGCCTGAGGTTTTCCAGAGCTGCCTCAGTTCCTTTTTCAGAGTCCAGGTTTCCTGATATGAAAGGGCTGTGTGTTTCATTTACTGCTCATGTCCTACCCAGACTATCTTAGGCTGTGGAGATAAGGGGAAATACTGATTTCTTTGTGTGTCCAGAAAAAGAAATTTTTTTTTATATTAAGACAAAAAAATAACAAAAATATTCTTCACAGGAAAGATTTCATTGCTCATGAAGTGTTGCCAAGGAAAGTTAAGCCACCTGAAAAGGCTATCAAGAGTGACGAGAGTATGGATTTGACCTCCACTTATAAACGGGATTACAATTCCTACTCTATCTCTCAAGTACCTCCATGCCTCCCCTGTGTGATGAGACACATCCCCAATGCCAAGATGGATACAAGAACAACTTATGAAGGTATGTGCCCTTGCAGCTTCTTCCAGGACTTCGCTAGTAGCTGAATTTTTGAAGAAAATGAATCAAAACAGTGTGCAGTTGTTATTCCTTCTGTCTGTTACGTCAACAAGCCATGCAGTAATCATACAGTCACAAATTATTTGGAATACAGTCCTGCATTAATGGGGTTTCTCTGAATTCTGTCCTTGGGACCTCTCTGAATTCCCTTCCTTTGCATGTCTGGCAGGCCTATAGGCATCCTAGGTCAAAGCATGGCCATGTGAACTCCTGCAGGTGGGTGTACCTACATCATCTCTAGGATATACCAAACATACTCTTGGTATACTGCAAGGCTAGTCCACACATTCAGTGGATCAGACACATCTAAAATGTGTAGAATTAACTAGGTCTGAGCAGATCACCAGGCATGGGACCCTTTTTGTGTTTGCTGCAGAGTTAACCTGTGAATTACGAACACAAGGAAGTTCCACACAAATGTCCAAAGCACTCAGGCTCTACTTCTGGTAAAACAGATGAACTGTGCATCTAGCTATGCCCTTGTTTGTCAGCAGCAGTAACTTGGTGTAGGTAATTTATCTCTGGGGGCTTTTGCTCCCTTCTCTCCATCACCATGAATTCTCTTCTGCATCTGCTGGGAGAAAACTTACAGTTACACAGGACAGCAGCTGTGCTAGTTCTGGTAGTAAGTCATAAGTAGAAGATCTGAGGATATTTGTCCCCTCTGCATAGCTTCCAGATAGCTAACATTGCTAGGCAGATAGGTACCAATTACGTATTTATTAAAATAATTTTATTCTACTTCATAATTTATTTTTTATTTTGTTTCATTATGGTGTGCAAATATAAAAGTTTATATTGGTGTTGACATTGAGATTTGTCCCATTTTATAGAAATGATTTTTTTCTTCAAACTCAAAATGGTAAAGGAAGTAAGGAAATAAAAGGTATGTGAATATATTATTAGGATTACCCAGCTGAAATGACTGGAAATAAGACTTCAGTGCAGCTGCTTGTTTGCAAAGACGTAAACTGGAATTTTTACTTTAGGCACACAGGAAATACTGTCCATTTAGAATGAGTTGAGTTGTGAAGACTGTGAACCACAGGTGCAAAATACCCATGTTTACACAATTGTGAACACTTTGTTTTGCATCGGCAATGTCACCAAATGGTACTCATTGGAATAGCTCCAGTGAAGCCGATAAAAAAGGCTCCTTTGCACAAGTGAAGCATCTTTCTTTCTGTTTTTAGATATCCTCCTCTGTATCTGAACCAAATGTATATCTTTGTCTTTTATGAGTGTTTAGGCCAGCACCTTAACTGGTACTCCAGAGTTCTAATAAAATGTATCACAGCCACATTTGGTGATAATTTGCAGTATTTTTCAAAACACTGCAAATGGAAATCCTTGTCCAAACCCTCTCAAACATCAAGTTGCATACTCAATGAATTCCCCTTTAAAGGCACAGGTTCACAAATAATACACATTTTCACTGTGCTATATTCTCTAAGAGTTGCTAGGTTTTACTGATCACTACTCAAGTGTGAAATCTTGAAACATGCTGTTCAATTAACTAAGTACTGTGTAAAACAGAACTGCATTGTACTAAGTTACATTTCTTACTGTATTGTCATACTCCTTCCCACTAAACACACCATATCCTAAATGACACTATAGGTTTCAGATGATGCTATTGCATATCACAATTAATGTCAGATGACTTTACAACTTGAGGTTTCAAAATTCTCATCTCCTCCAAGATATATACATAGGTGTTTCTAGCCATCTGCAGATATGTAATCTAATTTTAGTTTTATCTTCCTTGGTTGTAGTGAGATGTGCCTAGTCCTCCAGTAACATATGCCTCATATCCTCCATTCCCTCCTGCAACCCTTAATGTTTTCAAGATTGTGCTACATGGGAAACTATTAATAGCTATAGGAGAAGAGTTAGAGTTACAATAAAATTGTAACATATTTTGAAGGAATAGTAGCACTGCTGGCTTACATTAAATAAAATAAATTAATGATGCCTATGAGGTCTCCAAATGTGAAGAGCTTGTAAATTTTTAAAATTGGAGACAGATGGACTTGCAATATTTTGCAAAAGCTATGGTTACTCAAAAATGCACAGACAATTTTGCAGCAAAGATGATAGGAGAACCTAAGAATATTTTTGGTAACTCTCATTTGGCACTTGATATGTCAGGTGACTGAACAAGCCTTCACTTAGAGATGGGCTGAACTTGTTAATACTTCATTAATACAACCCCTCTAATGACACATGTCTGTATAGGCTCATGGTTCACCCTGCTGGACCACCTCTCTGGGACGATGATGTACCTGGGACACGGGCACAAGGTCAGCACCCCACGAGTGCGGTGGTACCTGGAAATCTCCTATTCCCTCCCCAGAGAAACATGAGCATGCCCTCAGCAGGCTACAGCAAATTAGCAGCATGAGAACAGCTATGTAGCCAAGTGCCAGGGAGCATTCTGGGAGCAGCATGGCACCTGTGGCTGCTGCGTCCTCTCCTGTGTCAGAGCAGAGAAACTTGGTTGAACTAGAAGGACTTTAAATTAACACCTAATTGGGGCAAAAAGTTACTTATTTTTTTTGAGGGGGCAAATGTCACATTGTAGTACACACATCGTTGGTGTAATTGTGTCTATGCAGTACAAGAGCTGCTGCCATTCAGAAAGAGTAAGTCTACTTGGATTGGAGAGTTCAAATATCCTGATAACTGATTGCATCATTTACTCTCCAGTACTTTGAAACCTAGACTTCCTTCCCGTGCAGTCAGCTGGAAGCTTATTTGCCTCATGATTCTCAATGTGGTTTGAATGGAGGGAAAATTAAAATAAATAAATAAATAAAGACTTGGCTAGCTCCAAGACTATTTAATTTCAGCTTCCTACCGGTAACCATAATGCTCTCTAGGGGAAGTTGCACAAGATTACTAGGAAAAGAAAAACTGATGATCTTGTGGCTGCAGCACTGGTTGGAGAGTTAGAAAGCTTTGCAATAGATTTCTAATGTGACAGAGTGCAAATCTTTTTAAGTCTCAGAGCCTGCTTTGTTTCCCCTGATATCCTGCCGAGGAAGGAAGATATGAATATTTCTAAAATGCTGCTCAGAATGTTTTCTTAGTCATAAATTTGGATAATAAGATTTCCAGAGTATGGACCATCTTTGTGATATGATACAATGCTTCAGACCACTGTACGCTTGGTCTGCAAATTCCAGCACAGTTTTTCTAGTAAGGAAGAATTGGAGACAGAGGTACAAGCTCCTTCTTGGTTCCTGCTCATATTGACATCAGGAGTACCACAGAGAGCACAGCCAAGAGCTGAGCAGATGCCACACAGCACAGCCTGCTGACACCAAGAGGAGCTGCAAAACCATGAACTCAGCCAACAGTAGGCAGTGTCATGTTGGGTGCAGTTGAGAAATCAGGTCTTCCACAAAGGAGACAATGCAAAGAGAAAAGACATCTCGGTAACTTGGCCTTTAGAGTGGAATGGTGGATGTCTGTTTCTCTTTGCCTCGGAGATACTGTGCGAGACACTTGAGCAGCCTTCTGCATAGCCTGCCTGTGCTCTGAGCCAGCTATGACATAGCTGCAGGAAGGTAAACGTAGGGAGTAGAGTCAGTGCCACAATACTCCACTTTCATGATTTCTGGTTGACTGAGCATGAAGACAGCACCCACTCAGTCACCTGCAGAAAATATCTCTGCAAGGTAGAGGACGTAATTTAATCTTCCCGCATTGTATTTCACCACCTCTGTAGGTATGGATGTTACAGAACTATTTTCATTCCAACTTTCATGTAAATTATATGCAATTCTAGGGTTTAGCACACTAGCGTATAATGTGTTTGAGAGCAGCTCTTTCAATAAGATTTTTCAATCACTGAAACATCAGCAAATATTTATTACAGTATAAAATGTAATAATCATAATATGGTATATGCATAAACTCACACACACAAAAAAATGTTGACAACTTAGACAGGTTTCCTCTTATGTTTCAGATGACTATGTGCTATGGAGTGAACCAAAGGCAGAGATGATCAGATCAAATGACAGGTTTTGCCCATCAAAAGAAAAAATTAACTACAAAACTGTTGTCCAGGATGACTATATCTACAGGGGGCCAGTTGCCACTCAGAGCTGTAAACCTCTCTCTCTGGTCCAGAAAACTAAGGTTCCCTGTGAGAATATAACCAATTATAGAGTGAACTACGTGCCACATCCTCTGAAGAAACGTTATGTCCATAAAAAAAGAGAAATACAAGGCCAGTGAGGTACCATTTGATGGCCTCACTACCCACAAACTTTCTTACAAGGGGCTGGCTTGTCAGCCAGCCCAGCCTGCAACACCATACCATCCAGAGCTTTTATACGATATTCCATTTTCCTCTACAACGGAGTTTCAGGAAAAATTCCAACCTTGGACACAGCCTCCCATATTCACAAAAAAACCTGCTGTATATCTTCCTCCTGTGGAGAAAATGGACCTTAACACCACTACTCAGATACATTACAAACACCCAAATGGCAAGCCAGCCAAGATGTGTCAATCTTCGGTCCAGCTTGCAAAAAGTCTGACCCATTCAATGACTGTTCTACAATGAAGGAAGACTATAAGCCTTGGCTGTGTGAGGTAGAAAAACCTATCATTCATGCTCCAGTGCTGACCTTCCCTACAAAACCAATGGATTGCCTGACTACCTTTCAGACCCATTATGTTCCTCATCCACTCACAGTTACGAAGAACTGTAAACCTGTCTGGTCAGGCCCAAAACATGACACTCAGCTAGATGCTAAAACGATCTACACTACAAGCTACACACCAAAGGGCATTGTTAGATGCTCGGCCTCCTACAAACCCCCACTCCTTTGAAGGAGTTAATGCCGATGACCACAATCTCTATCTCCCTGCTTCCAAGAGTGAGACCTGCAAGGTGGATGTTGGAGAAACAAAAGAGTGAATGGGTTCAAAGTGCAGGACCTCAGCTAACTACAAATGACAGCTTAATTTCGTTTATAACCTCTTTCAAACACATCACTAGTTTTGTATTTGGACAGTTCTTAAAATAAACTTAATTCCCAGGCATTGGCTTTTTCTGGATCATTTGTACAAATGCAAAACATAAAACCCAGGGAAAAGACACATTGATTCCTGTTTCTCTGTACATTTTTTTTTCTTTTTCCCACATAGCTTTTGCTCATTAATTGAGATATCCTCCTCTTGAGACACTAAAAGAGAGATTCTGTTGTAACATACATTGTTTTTAATGTAATGGCAAATCAGCCACATCCACAATGACAGCAACAGAAGAGCATCTTCAGATGAATTACATGATGCGAAGTCACACTTGAAAGCCATGGCTGGATAAGTCTGAGATCTGGTCTTACCAGTCACTCAAATCAAAGATACATACAAAAGGTACAGTTACTGGATAAATGTTATTGAAGACTGTACATTCATTGTGTCACTGTGCTGCCCACTGCTACGCTACCAGATGTGAGGTTATCACACCAAAGATGCCACACTCAGCTGATAACTTTCAAGGGAAGATTTTTCAGTAAAAGGATTTTGCTGCAGGATGCAGTGAGAGTACCAGAAACGTCAAAGGGTTGACACTGTCATGTGTTGCTACTGTTTAGCCAGCAGCTGGATTTGTGCTATCTTTTGATACAGCCAATATTAAGCTCCTAACCAGAACTGTTCATTTCTGTGTCCAAGGTGCTTTTCCTAGGTTTACGAGTGTTAGCACTAGGAATCTTACTGGTTTCTTAAACATATTCTATGTTCCTAAATCCTCCTCTCCCTTAATCCTGGCTGTTTCCTAAGTATTTAACTCAAGTGCTAGGTAGACCTGTTGCATGCTGGAGGAAAGGCTTGTGCCTCACCATCAAAATAGTTGCATTTAAAGAGGAAGTAGAAGACAATTTTTTGTATAAATATATTTTAAAACTTTTGAAAATATTTGAAACCCATTGGGATAGTAGTCTTCCATAAGTACTTGTAAGCTAAAGCCAAACACATTCCACGTTCCACTTAAATGTGAGCACATAGCCCTGAGGGTGGGAAGCCACTGGAACAATCGCTCCAGAGGCACAATGGTTCTGCATCACTTGAAGTCTTTATATCAGTCCTAGAGGGCTTTTCTAAACATACACTCAAGTTCAATGAAAAACTATGTGCTTGAAGAAAGAATAACTAGGCAAATCTCTACAAAATACACTACACAAAAGGGTCAAACTATGTAGTCACTGATGGCTCCACACAGCCTTCAGAAATTCAGGAATCTGTGAAACATTCACTCACTTTTCATGAGGTATTGACCCAGAGCAATGTAAAAATGTTTCACATTTTTTGATCTCCTGCTATCTTAGCAGACTTCTTGAACCTTAATGTCTTTAATGTTGAGCTTTTTGCAGGAAAATACTTTTTGTTCCCTATCTCTTTTTATTCACTTAATTTTTAAATTTTATTTATCATACTGCAATTCTGTCAATTTCGAAAGGGAATTTATATGAAAGAAACAGCTGGGGCTTGTGACTGCAGAAGAAATTGTTCTTTTATGTAGGAAAGCTCCCTAGCTGTTCTTTCAACTTTTTGATGGGAGACTGACAATGAATCCAGAGCCAGGAGAATCTAGTGTGTAAATCTACTGTTATTACAGGCTTGTGGGCTTTTTTTGCTGAGTGAGAGTTAGTCTCATCAAAATGGATAGCAATGCAATATGCTGCTTAGCATTAGTAATTTTTGGATTTTGAACATTAACAACAGGAGCCTTGATTTTGCCAGCAGTAGACTAGCTCAGAGCAGCATCAAGCAGACCTGTCTGGTTTAATTTCAACACTTTCACAGCCTGAGACACCGATTTGGGGTGCTTCCCTGACTTGTAGCTAAATGTACAAGAAAATCACTATATGAGAACACTAAGGAACAACATGAGCTCACTTTAAGGACTAAAGAAGTGGCTCCACAGAAATTAAAACTGATTAAACTTTGGGTTTCTGTGGTCTCGCCTTTCCCTCCACCTGTAGCTGCATGTTTCTCCCATTGTCTCTTGTGACATTAGTACTGTCTGATTGGATGATGGGCCATATCAGGACACTGACCTGGCTGAAGGCAAATCGGTGTTTTCATAAGGTTACGGCCCATTTACTTAATTTGTCTGAACCAGTGCACCACAGAGTTACACAATTACCAATTTAGGTGAGGGAGATCAGTTGTCTAGGGTTAGGGCTGGGGTGGCCACTAAATGACTGACAGATGCTCTCTATTAACCCTTCTCACTTCTCAAAGGAGAAAGGAAAGGCAATAAGACATCCAAGAGCCTCTTCCTCTTCTCCTGAGTGGAGTGCTTATCAGAATTTTAACCTCTCCACCACACGGACAGGGCTGTGGTTCTGCTACCTCCGGCTTCTTATGGAGGCAACAGTCCTTCGTTTGCTCTGAGCTTCCTTTGCTCAGTTAAAGCAATGCAACATCTTCCTGGTCGGCAGCTTAATTTTGATTATAACGGGCAGTGTCTTTAGGAAATCCGTATAAGAGAAAATTATAATTTAGGGGAGAATTGAAGTGTTTAGCACAGAAAATAAAGATCAGCTGCACTGCAGCACACACAGGATTTGGTTACTATTTTCATGCACAATTATTTTATGGATAAAGATAAGTAAAAGTTAGTTTTACCTTATGTTTGCGCCAGTTAAATTTAACTTTTTCTTAGAGTGGACATAATATCAGAGAGAAGGAAAGCCCTGAAAAAGAGTTCAAAATGTCACTGAAATGCACCGCAAGTTTGTGTAATTGTTTTTGAACTTTCATACAGGAGGAGGAAAACAAAACTATACTTGTTTGTGTGGCAGAACTAGATGCTAGTGACAGATCATAGAATCATAGAATGGCCTAGGCTGGAAGGGACCTTAGAGATCATCTAGTCCTACCTTCCTGTCATGGGCAGGGACATCTCTCAACTAGATGAGGCTACTCAAGGCTTCATCGAACTTGGCCTTGAACACCTCCAGGGAGGGGGCAGCCACAACATCTCTGGGAAATTTATTCCAAAGTCTTGCTGCCCTCGTATTGAAGAATTTCTTCCTAAGGTCAGATGAACTAGCATTTGTCCAGAAAATCCTCAGATGCTCTTTAGTGATCTTATCTGTTTTGTGGGACAATAATGAGTGACAAAAAGACTACCTGCATTTGGCCCAGTTTCTAGTGTTGGGAGCAGCCTTGCAGGAGCTCATGAAACTTGCACTCATGCTGCAGCACAAGACAACACTTCTCAGTGAAAAAGTGGTTTGGAAAAGGCAAGTCAGCTGTAATCAGCCTCCTGCTTCATTCATTGGTACTTTTGAAGAGTGAATAATACATAAACACTGGCCTAAGTACAAAAGCTATTATTGAAAAGTGTTTCAAAAGCCAAAATGCAAGGATAAAAGCAAGAGGCTTTGTCCTTGGCAGGGTTGAGAGGGGCATCCAGGGGAGTTGTATCATGAAGCATTGCAAAAAAGAACAAGGAGGACTCCGCTAAAGATTTAAATGAAAACTTACTGCCAGAGCACGTTATTACACTGGTATCAGTTACTGTAATTATTGGCAGTAGACATCAGCTGTGCACAGGAAAAAAGACCCATGTGTACACTGGTGAGCTCATCTGGAGAGACAGCGTCTTCCTGTGTCCCTGAAAACACTGAAGAACTCACCAGCAGTACCAATCTCCATGACAAAGCACAATCTGTGAGGCAGGTCATAAGAATGAAAACTGAATTAAGGAGACATATCCAAACTAAATTTTAGAAGAGTAGCAGCTTCCTGGAAGGTTGTGAATGTCTGCTCAGCTAGGTGGCAGGCAGGACTATAGTTACTGCCTGTGGAAAGACTGAGCAAAGGTACTTTATTCTTCTGTCCTCAGTGGGAAGCAAAATAAAATAGCCCCGAAAGAAATCCAGCTATCTGGAATAATGAGGGAGATAACTAGTCAGTTCTGCTTTGCCTTCCATAATATTAGCCTTTCAACCACCTGTGCCTGTAAGGACTCCAAACCCCAGTGTCTCACATCTGCAGGAGACAGTTGTTCCATCTGGAGATTTGCAGTTGGCAATAGGTGAGAGGTCAAAAAATCAGTAAGTTTTATACTCAAGGCCTAGAAATATGAACAGGTAGCAAATTTATGAAAAGTTTAACACAAATTCTAAAAAAGGCTACAAGAGAGAGCAAATTGTCAGCACCTCAATTGTTTCAGAGCTATAATGAAAGTTTTAAAAGATAAGTGCTAGGCTTCAGCAAGGATTGATGATGTTCATATCACAGAGAGAAGCAATATTGGCTCTGGGCATGGGGCCCTGGAGATAGGAAGCAGCTAAATTTATTGTGCAAAAAGGCAAATCTGTTCTTTGAACTTTCCTGGGGCATGGATAGGATCTCCCTGAGGGAGCCATGTCATGTCAGCTGGAAAGAGTCATTTGGACAGAGAACTGTGGTCTGCATTCACTGCAGTGGGAAACTGCAATAACAAATTTTCTGATCAGAGTTTGCTTTTGGCTGATCCCACTAACAATCCCTCTTCCGCCTACTGTACTAGTCTCTCTCGCTGTATCTTTCCCACATTAGAAGCAGTAGTTTGAGGACTTGTGCTGCTCTTCTTGCTTTTTTGGGGGGAAATACTGCTTTGGGGCAACCTGATTTTCACTTCATCTGCCTGCATTTCTGTCGTGTTTTAGACTGCATTCAGCAGTGAAGGAATAGAGTAACTCTTAAAGAAGAAGTGGTATGTTTGGCTCTGTATTACCTGTTTCCATCAGCTCACTAGTGCTGTGCTTAATGGTGCCAGCTGTCCCTAGTCAGGCAAGAGTGCTTATGTGTGCCAAGTGCCATCACATGGGCTCAAGGGTGCTTCTTTGCTAGCTGAGCAGGCTCCTGCTCTGCTTTTCTCCATATTAAATGAGAAAGGTGCCTGCAAGATCCTCCCTG